ATATACATATATATATACCTACAAGCGTGCATACATATGGACATGTATATCCATATTTCCCTGTATACACATATTGTATACGTTCGTAGTATATGTGCACATATACACTGATACATACTAGATATAAAAGTACACACGCTTGGTTACTCATTGTATACACATTCGAACACACTCGCTTACACATGTTCACACGCATGCCTTTTTATTTTTGTAAATACGAATGTTTTTTCTACTACCATGTTTACACATACATATTGTATACCATTGTTGTAAAACCGCATGGTAACATATACATAGCATACCAACACGTACGCGCATACATGTACACATTGTACATCCATAAAATCACATGCAAGTACATGTATAACCATATGCATGTTCTGGTCATGTGAATATATGAATGCATATCTCTATGTATTTCTATGATGTTCACGTGTGTATAAACTATTTATGTGTGTGTGTCTGTGTACATGTATAATATATACATATATGAATATATATAAACATTGATATACATATATATCTATATATGCATCTATATTTCAACATATATATATATATATGTGTGTGTGTGCGTATGCAAGTCTATTTCTATGTACGCAAATGCCTGCATTTGTATGGTATGTTGACGTATACACACATTATGCCACACACGCACACACCGCTATAATCTATACAACACAAATACAACTGATATGCTTGTATACACCCACCGTCAAATGGTACCAAATCCAGCACCTTACGGACCCCCCCCCTCCAAGCGACCACAGAACGCGCTCTGTCTTCAGACTAAACTAGACTAGATTGGGTTCATTTGGGAATAAATTGGACTAATCTGGACTAATTTGGACTAATTTCGAAATGAATTCGACTAATTTGGACTAAATCAGCGCCCATGACACCGACGGGTGAAACGAGAGGCTCCCATCATCGTGGACCGAATGTGGCCGTGCGACCGCCAACTTGGTTATCCGTGGATCTGGCGCGTGGGCGCCCGATCCACGCGTCGGGGAGGATTATCCCTCGATGCCGCCTAATTTGACGACGGAGCGCGTATATGTAGCATGGGAACGGGACCGTCATCAGTTCACGCGCCTTATCCATGTATGCGCTCGTTGCACTGGTGTCCTTGTCCTCTTGCGCGCTGCTTCGCTATCCTTCCTCTTCTCTCCGCCTCTCTCGTCCTGAATATTATTATGTGTCCTCTACACCTCCTCTACTCTGAGGCCTTCTGCCGTGCCTGGGGATACCCCTAAGCACATCGAACCCCTTCCGAACTCAAAGTGTTCCGCACTTCGCCATCTCGAACTGCAAGCGCACTGGTTGGTCCGGGGCAAGCACCGGAGCTGTGAGGGGATTGGTCTCGTGGCGTCGGAGCACCCCAAGGAGGAGACGCCAGGGGTGGGGACACGTGCCCATTCGCGCCCAGATTGTGGGGATGTCTCAAACGCTTTGCCTGTTTGGTTGATATGACCTCTCTCGTTTCAGAGCCCCATGCTCGTGGCGACGTGGCAGGCATTGCACTTCAGCACCAAGGTCGATCTGCCAGGGCTGTGGACATTTGCCCGTTCGCGCCCACACTGTGGGGATGTCTCAAGTGGTTTGCCCTGGAAACGCCTGAGGCAGGCTGAACTTCTCTTACTCATGGACGGGATTGCCAGGAACTGATTCACGCGTCGAATATCGATCCTCTGGCCGAGGGGGCTGTCTCATAGGGCTTGACCAGGTGCTCCAGCGGCGTCGTGCGGAGGGGGTTGGTGGCCCCGCCAGGGGGTGCGGTCTGGGCAGCAAATCAGCGCCCGCGGCGGGATTCTTTCTAATGTTGACTGGTCTTCTACTCCAGAACAGACTCTTTCGTACTATGCACGTCTGCAAGGCCATGGTACTGCTGATGCAAATCCCTCCCCTCCAAATCTAACATGAAAGGTTCTTCTGGCCCGGTATCTCCAAGGCCGTCGTAGGCCTGGGAGCAGCCATAGTCACCCGTGTAAGCCTCATGTGGGCAGGGAGGGGGGGATGACAAGGAGGAACACGCGCAATGGGAGAGGATGGGGCAGGAGGAGCAAACGCAGGAAATGGAGTAACCAGCAGAGGACGGCGTAGGACAAAAGGGACCCGGATGAACGCGAGGAAGATGGACCAAAATGGTGAAGAGACGCAAGAAACGGAAGACGAGACGGGGAGTGCGGGGGGGAAAGAAGAGAGAAAAGGGGGAAGGAGGAGCAGAGTGGCCAGCATGAGAAGGATGGTCGCGGGGACGGAGACGGGGATCGAGACGAGGATTACCAGCCTCGAACTTATCCCTATCCCTAAGATTGACACGCCAAAAGGCGATGACAATCTTAGGGATCCGCCTTCAAAAAGATAAGGGAATCCCTAAGATTGGCATCGTGATGAGATGCCCAGCATAGGGATAGGGGTATGTTCCAGGCTGGTAAGAGGATGACGAAGCCGTCTCCTCGCGAGGGCGGAACAAATGATTGGTGGACTTTCGCTTCAGGGTGAATCCAAGCCGCGCCAGTCTCGTTGGCCAACAGCTGGCCCCCTCGTTCCCTCCGCCAGGGGCGCCGCGGATGCGGACGCGGCACACCACGCTGAGCCGCAGAGGGAAAGGATCAGGGGGGAAGGGGAGACAATTGAAAAGGGGGCAGGAGGGGAAAAAACGGAACAAAAAACTTGGTAAACGAGAAGCGCTGCCAAAATTATGGCTGGCCGTGCGTGTTGTTTGGGCCGCTGCACTGCGAAGCCGAGACCCGGCCTCACTGATTATCGTCCTCCTCCGCCTCCTCCACCCCCCAACCGAAAACACAAAAGCCCCCCAGACGCCAACCTGTAGGCTTGGACGTCTTACACCAGGAGCTGGTGGCAGGAAGAGCTAGGAGATGCACGCTGCAGATCACCGCTTGCATTGGGTGCCAACCACTGGTATGAGCTCGGAATGCGCAAGAGAAAACGGGATGGGCAAGCTTATACAGCCTTGAGCATGGTAGCCTTACTTGCCCTGCCCTTTTCAGAACAAGCTTACTATGAATTCTGGGGTTTTCGTCCAGGCTGCGCTGGCGCCCAAAACTGTTGCTCTTCCCCCCGCGCCACCCCGACGCCTTTCCACCACCGGCCACCCGAATCCCACGAATCTGACGCAGCCTGGCACCGTGCAAGGTGAGCGATCCGAGAAATAGGAGAAGCCGAAAGAACGATGGGAATTCGCCTCGGTCGGGGATCCTCTGACCCGGGTCAATCCAGACCCGGGTCAGCAGGAAACCAAAAACTGCAATGCAGGAAAAAAAGCTGCAACGCAGATCCTCGCAAACCCGGGTCAGCCAATACGCGCGGCCGCCTCGCGGCCACGAGCGGCTCCCTGACCCGGGTCAGCCAGAGGGGGCCTTCGCAGGATCCTGCAGGATCTGGTGCCCTGGCTGACCCCCGTTTGCGTTGACCCCCGTCTCGAGGCTCCCGACTCGGGGTCTGCAGGCCGGACCGGCCTTGCGCAGTCACGTCACCAGGTGGTTCTCATTATATTGAAGGGGCCCAAGGACACACAAATTCGCCGGCCCAACGGGCCAGAGGCGTGCTAAGATCTCCGGTAACTGCTAAATAATATTTCTACTTCGCGCGCGCGGGGCGGCCCCTGGGGGTCCCCGGACGAAAAGTACCCCGGGCGATCACCGGCAGACTCGGATCAGAGATGGTTTTCCTCCTGGGCGCCGCCCCCGTGGCCCTCCAGAGAGCCCCAAAAGGGCCACGAGGCCGCCAAGAGCCCTCCAAGATGGCGCAAGAGTGCTCCGAGATGCCACGCGATCGTTCCAAGACGCCCAAGATGGCCCCCAGACGCCCCAAGAGGCCTCCAAGAGCACTCCCGGGGAGGGCCCCAAGAGGCAAAATTCATTACTTTTCCATAGGTTTTGGGCAGATTTTGGCGTGTCCATCTTTTCGGCTTCCCGACGCCCCAAGACGGGCCAAGAGGCCCCCAAGATCGCCCCAAGAGGGCCCAAGAAGCTCCCAAGAAGGCCCCAAGATGGCCCAAGAGGGTTCCAAGACGGCCCCAGAGGCATCCCAGACGGCCCAAGAGGGGCCCAAGACGGCCCCAAGATGCGCCTAAGACGGGGACCACGACTCCAAGATTCGACCCTCCGGCTTGAAGAGTGCCCCAGGAGGCCCCAAGGAGTGGGGCTTGAAGAGTGCCTCAGTCATGCGAAATGGGTCGGCGGAATGGGCGAAGCGATTCAATAAATACATACAAATAAAATGCATTCCAATATTTCCCCATATGTTCTTGGTTTCTATCTTCCCGCCCGCTTCCCAGATTTTCCAATAGTGTATGTGTTTTTTCCTCCTGAATATATATATATATATATATATATATATATATATATATATAACTAGAACCACACGCGCGCTGCGCGCGCTTAGGTTCTAGCGCGGACTTCCCCGATTGTGAACGCGAGCTCGCCCCACACGGGAGCGCGTTGCCAGAAAGACCGCTGTCGAAAGAACGGCGGGGGCTCTTCCGGCCACGGCGAGGGTCTTGGCCACAAAGAGTTCCCCCGGCCTGGAGCTAGGCAGCAGCACGACGAGCCAGAGCCGCTCCTGTGCCCAAGGCGGTCCTTGCTTCGGCGTCCTGGCCGGGCTCATTGCATGCTCAACGAGAGCTTCACCAACTGCATCAAAACGCGGACTACAACAACCGCACCCTGATTATTCTGATGACTCAAATCGTGTCGACAGTGCTGCAGCAGCATACGGCTCTGGTGAGAAAGGATCGGAGGAGGAGGAGGAGGAGGAGGAGGAGGAGGAGGAGGAGGAAGAGGAACGCCAGCCCTGCCTGGACGGGAAGACCCCAGCCAGCGCAAGGAGAGTCTTGCTTCTTCCATGGAGTGAGGAGGAAGACTGGGCGAACGAGGAGAATTAGTCCCCAAGGGAACCCACAGGACAGCCTCAAGTGACAAAACCATATCTGACTTGTCTTTAAACGGTTCTCGCATTCTCGCCAGCTCGGGGCTATGAACCCCGAGGAGAAGGTGGCCCAAGATGGTCCCCGGGAGGGGCCGGAGAGGCCCGCAAGGGGGAACTCGTGGGGGCTGTTTGGGAGCCTCTTGAAGCCTCGCTTGGGCCTCCTGGGTGCCTCTTGGGGATCTCCTGGGGCCTCCTGGGGCCCCTTTGGGGCCTCCCGGGGCCCGGTGGAGGCGGGAGGCTCGAATTTCCGGTTCGCGGTTCCCCTCTTGGGGCCCTCTGGGGGCCGTCTTGGGCCTCTCTTCGCCCGTCTTGGGCGCGTCTTGGGCCGCCTTGGGGCCCCTCCAGAGCCGTCTTGAGGGCCTCTTGGAAGCCTCTTGGGCCGTCTTGGGGCGTCCGCGGGGGGCCTTTGAGCCGTCGTGGAGCGTCGGTCAGCTGAAAAGGCGGGAAAGGCAAAGTGTGTCCAAAACCTTAGTAAAATTAACGATTTTGGCCTCTTGGGGCTCTCTGGGGGGGCCTCTTGGATGCCTCTTGGAGCGTCTTGGGGGCCTCTGTGGCCGTCTTGGGCTTATCTTGGGCATCTTGGGGCCCTCTTGGCGCCCTCCTGGGCCTCTTGGAGCCTGCTGGGCCTGCATGGTTCTAGCCCAGGCCGGGATCTTGGACAACGCTACCAAGCACAGGCGCGCGACGGCATCTGAGGAGCTTCTGGGCTGTTCCGCATGATTCGTCAACTGGCTGTTGGAGGCACCTCTTGGGCGCTTCTTGGGGGGGCGTCTGAGGGCCCCTTGGGGGCATGGGTTCTGCAATTTGAAGCCGTCATTGGCCGTCTTGGCTGCGTGGAGGCCCGACTTGAGGCCACCTGCTGCCAGATTGAGGCAATCCGGGAGCCTCCCGGGGGCGTCCTGGAAGCAGTTTTGACGCATCGAGGGCACTCTTGGGCTATTTTAAAGCCTCTTGGACGTCTCCTACGGGCCTTTGAGGCCCTCGGGAAGCTTTTGGGGTCCTCGTCGGACCACTTGGGGGCCTCTTGCGGCCTCCTGTGGGCCTTGTGGGGGGACCGCTCTGCTGTTGGGTCGCGTTCCCCTTCTTGGGCCTCTCTTGGGGCTCTTGGGGCCCTCTGGGGCCGTCTTGGGCGCCTCAAGCACCGTCTTGGGGCCCTCGCGGGCCGTCTTGGGGCCCTCTTGGAGGCCTCTTCCTCTATATGGGAGCGGTATTGGAAGCCTCTTGGGCCGTGTTGGACATCGGGATGCCAAAGGCAGAAAACAACGTAGAACCCGTCAAAGCCCAATCGTAAAACAATGAGTTCTGCCTCTTGGGGCCACCTTGGGAGATCTCTTGGAACCTCGTCGGCCCTCTTGGGAGCTTCTCAGGGGCCTCTTGGATCCGATTGGGGGCATCTTGGGTCTTCCCGAGAACCTCTCGGGGTAGAAAGCTCGGATTCTCGATTCGTGTTTCCCTTCTTGTGGCTCTCTTGGGGCCGTCTTGGGGTCCTCTCGGGCGCCTCGGGCACCGCCTTGGGGCCCTCGTGGGCCGCCCAGGGCCCTCGTGTAAGCCTCTTCGGCTATCTTCGAGCTTTCTTGGAGACCTCTTCCTCCTCCTCGTCCCCCTCCTCCTCCTCCTCCCACTCCAGCTCTCTCTCCTCCTGATCTTCCTCCTCCTCCTGCAGCGTGTTCCGGAAGGCTCCCGCCGGAACATGCTGTGCACAAGTGCTGTCACTGCTCCCGCCACCGTGCCCTGGGTGGTGGGTCAGAGGCCTCATGGGTGTTGGTTTGGATCTCGTGGTTGGCCTGTCGGGGACGTCGTGAAGGCAGTTTCGCAGTTTCTCGGTAGCCGTTTTGGGACCGTTGTGGGGCCTCCTCGGGGCTGTTTTGTGGCCTCTTTAGGCCTCGTTTGGGCCTCCTGGGTGCCTCTTGGGGGCCTCCTGGGGCCTCTTGGGGGCTCCTTGGGGCCTCCTGGGGCACTCTTCAAGCCGGAGGGTCGAATCTTGGAGTCGTGGTCCCCGTCTTAGGCGCATCTTGGGGCCGTCTTGGGGCTCTGTTGGGCTGTCTTGGGCGACTCTGGGGCCCTCTTGGGGCCCTCTTGGGCCGTCTTGGGGCGCTCCTGGGGGCCTATTGAGCCGTCTTGGAACGTCGGACAGCCGAAAAGGCTGGAAGGCCAAAATCGTTCGAAAACCTTCGTAAAATTGACGATTTCGGCCTCTGGACGCGCTCTGGAAAAGCGTCTTGAAGCGTCGTGGAGTGCCTTGGGGTGCCTCTCGGGCCGTCTTGGGCCTATCTTGGGCGTCCTGGAGCGGTCTTTCGGCGACTCGGGGCCCGCTTGGGCCGTCTTGGGGCTCTCTTCGCCCGTCTTGAGCGCGTTTGGGGCCGTCTTGGGGCCCTCCAGAGCCGTCTTGAGCCCCTCTTGGAGGCCTCTTGGAGGCCTCTTGGGCTCTCTTGGGGCGTCCGCGGGGGGCCTTTGAGCCGTCGTGGAGCGTCGGAAAGCTGAGAAGGCGGGAAAACCAAAGTGTGTCCAAAACTTTCGTAAAATAAACGATTTCGGCCTCGTGAAGCGCTTTGGAGAGGCGTCTGGAAGCGTCGTGGAATGCCTTGGGGAGCCTCTCGGGCCGTCTTGAGCCTATCTTGGGCGTCCTGGAGCGGTCTTTCGGCGACTCGGGGCCCGCTTGGGCCGTCTTGGGAGCCTCTGGATGCCCTCCTGGACTATTTTGGACCTCCCCGGCCGCCCCGTCCTCCCATGGGGGGTTGAAGGCGGCGGCCTCCCAGGCCCCAGACGCGGAAACCCTGTAAAAACACAGGGAAAATTAGCCCCCGTCCCCCCATGCGGGGTAGAGGCACCTGTCCTGGGGCCCCCAGCCTCGCCCCCAGGGGTATATATATATATATATATATACATATATATATATATATATATACTAGTGTGGACCCGTGGAATAAATCCACGGAGTTGCGCGGATCGAAGTATGGTTGCGAGTGCTGGGTTGTGCGACGCTGCCAGCTACTGCCGTAGATCCTGTGAAGCTTGTTCTGGTGCTGTTCCCCCACTGAGCGCCCCCAATGCACCGAAGTGGGGGCCGAAGTGTTCGAGCTTCGCAAGAGGCAAAAGTTCAAGAGACCAAGCCAGAGCAGCCGTCTCGGGCCGCGTCGGAAGCGTCGGAACGGCGTCGCGGCAAAATAGGGAGCGCAGACGGGCAGCGCCAGGGCCACGGGAGTGTAAAACATTGTTCTTTTGCGCCTGCGAAGGGCCTCTCGCCTCTCGTCCGCCCCTCTCTCTTGGAGGCAGTTTTGAAGCCTCTAGGGGGCCGCTTGGGAGCTCTATGGGGGCTCTTTTGGGCCTCTTGGGGGCTCCTCGGGGCCCTCTTGGGCCGTGTATGGCGCCTCTTGGGCCGTCTTGGGGCCGTCTTGGGCCACCTTGGGCGCCACTTGGGCCGTCTTGGGGCCATCTTGGGCTCGCTTGGGCCCCTTTTGGGCACCTCTTGGGGTCCTCTTGGGCCGTCTTGGGCGCCCCTTGGGCCGTCCGGGGGCCGTCTGAGTCATCTTTGGGCCCTCTTGGGCAATCTTGGAGGCCTCTGGGGCTGTCTTGGACGCTTCGTAAAGGAAAATGTCGAATCTGTTGAAAATGTGCATTTTACGAAGGGAATGTGGCCATTTTTGCTTGATGGAGCCCTCCTGGGGGAGCCCTCGGACCCCCCCGGAGCCGTCCGGGGGCATCTTTGGGGCGTATGGGGCCGTCTGGAGAACATCTTGGGCCGCCTGAAAGCCGTCTTGGGTCGTCTCGGGGCCTCCGTAAGCCGTCTTGGGTTTTTCTGGTGAACTCCGACACCGTTTCGGACCCCTCCGGGGGCCTTCCGGTGCCGTTTTGGAGCCCCCGGGAGGCTCGGGGAGCCGGGGGCCCACGCAAACCCACAAGGCCTAATTCTAATTTATTTGAATGGATATATATATATATATATATATATATATATATATGAAGAGAGAGAGAGAGAGAGAGAGAGAGAGAGAGAGAGAGAGAGAGAGAGCGAAATTAAACCGTTGCCTGACTGGCCCCTCAACACACGCACGGCCTTGTTTGCCCTGCCAGCGCAGGTAGCCATAGAGCACATGTTCCCGGATAGCTTCGTGGGCTACGTAGGGTTGTTAGAGAAGAAGCCGGCCGGTGCGCGTACGCCGCCGTACCCTTCCGCCCACCGCTCCACGTGCCCTTCCGTGAGGGTTCGGGTTCTGCGGCGTGTCCTGGAGCGTCTGTTCCAATACGTTCCCGTAGCACGTGCTCCAGAGGCCTCGCGAAGCTCCCGGGCAGCGAGCTCTCACGCGTGCAGGCACACCTGGAAGCGTCGTTCTCAGCCCTGCAAGGGCGCGCCAGGCAAGCTTTCCAGCGCCACCACTTACGTTTACAGCCCTTCAGGAGCCCGCCAGGCGAGCTTTCCAGCGCCACCACGCACCTGTGAAGCGTGCTTGAAGCGACCTGATCACCGTTTGAGACGAGCGCAGGACACGCGCAACGCGAGAGGTGCGCTTGCGCGATAAGACGCCGCCTCCGCGCGCGTGTCTCGCGCTTGGCTATCCGGGTTTTGGACAACAACAGGTACAAAATGAGCACAGTCACCCCGAGCACAGTCATCCAAGGAGTGTTGGCTGAACCTTTCTGGCGCCAGGACCGCTGAGGGAGGAGGGGAGAACACCTGAGAGGGGGGAAACGGTGCAGATGAAGACTGGCGCCAGCTAGTCACAACTGGATTCACCGATGCACGGCCTCCCTGGCCAAAATTGTTACCTTGGGTTTGTGTCATGCCGCTCCGCGTTGGGCATATGTCAGTTAATATGACCTGGCTCCCTCGCCCGAACATTGCATAGGAGACATGCGAGCTTTGATCCCAGTAAACTGCTCCGAAGACCAGCCTGCCTGGCCACATGCGGCCCCTCCCGCAGGCACGGTAACATGAATGCAACTGTGATGTCCTAGCCACGAGCACGAATCTGGAGATGCTGGAAGGGGTCATCCCGCGTCCTTGTCAAATTTCCATATCCACTCACTGCCACTATTAAGAGAGAGAGAGAGAGAGCGCGCGAGTCAAAATGCGGGTACTCATGGTCAATGTGGTGCTACCAAGATCCTGGAGGCTCTGGACGGGGTTCTCCCGCTTCCCCTCATAACTACAATTGCCTGTCCCATCACTTTTCTGGGAAAGCCTGGATGTATATAGAGATTCAGATGACAAGCTTTCGTGACATTTCTTGCGCTTACTTCTGGGATCCCTGTCCTCGTCTGACTCCGATGCCCGGTCGTAGGCCTTCGGACTCTCCAGAACTGCACGGCTAAGCTTAGAGAATTCTTCCTCCCTGAATTCGGCGTGTTCGTCCGCAAACTGCGAAGTACCTCTTGTGAGCTGGACAACTCCTCCCTTCGCGCCAAAACGCTAGTATCGTCCTCCTTGCGCTTTGTGGTCTTGAGGTTGTCGCCCTCTACGGCATGAAATTGCGATTGGAGACTGCGGATGCGCAGGTTCGCAAGGGCTTCTCATCTCTCGTCAATGTTTCTGGGTATGCTATGCGACTTCTGCTGGCTCGCATCTGGTTGCATGGTGGGCGACTTCTCGTAGCTCTTTTCGGTATCCGTGCCCGAGTCCGTGTCCGAGTAAATTCGTTGATTCTGCTCCATGCTCGGCCGACTGTTTGGAGTTGCCCTTACTCTCCGCGTCTTTTAGCTGGTCTTTCCCTCCCTCGGTGGAGGCCTTGGCGGGGTTGGAGACCTCGGTCGATTGGCGGAAATCTCATGCTTACTCTTGGGGGCAAACTGGGCACACCAAACATCTGTTCGGCATGGCATGGCGACACTTGGGACACGCGTACCCTCGGTCCTGTCTGGCTGATCCTCCCAATCACCACCATCCGTCTGCTCCCCCAACCTGGATCCTCACAGCTATTCCCCTCATCGTCTTCCTCCCCTCCTGCTCTTTCCTACTGCTCCTGATGTTGCTGCTCTTTCTCGGCGTCGCCCCCCTCCTTCTCCTCCTCCTCCCCCCTCTCCACCTGCAACGGAGGGGTGGGCTGCCTCCATGCGCGTGGTCGGAAGTCCACAGTTGGCGGGTTGGGAACCACTGTCGCAAATGGGCACCAACTGCCCGGAGGCCGCATAGGCTGCGCGGTCGGGAGCAGGTCAACCAGGGCGGGCCATGTCCCAACCCTGCTCCCCCAAAAGATTGGCGGAGCGCAGAAGGGGGTAGGGGTAGGGGGAAAAGCTTGTTTTGAATCAGGTTTCTTCTTAGAAGGCGCTGGCCTCACATCTATAGAGAAGGCTCACGCATTCTAAGATGCAGAAGTGTTTCTAAGCAGCCGTCCCCCTTTCCCACTACCCCCCTCTGCGCATGGCCGAAAATAACCTCATCGGCACAATGGGAGCCATGCCAGCCAAAGTGTGTTTCTGTCCTCCTCCCTCGACCTCTCACCGTCGTCGTCCGCGCCGCCGCCAACGCGGGTGCTTCAGATCGTCTGCGCCCCTTGCACAATCCACGAGAGACGGTCTCAGGCAGAAGCAGCGAGCCATAGATCCTAACACCTCAACCCGAAGACGTACAGAAACAATATAGGGAGCTGGGCAGATGGCGACAACGTTCGTCCTGAACACCCTGGGTACCGAAATGACGAGCACAGATCATGTCCGCCATGAACAGAACAGATCGTGACGCGAAACTGAGCATCGTTTGACCGATCCCCATCCCCAGCGGCGTGGGCTGGGCCCCACTGGCAGATTTACCCCCCTGGCTGGGGATATAGGCTGCTCTCTTCAGGTTTCGAGGGACATATCCCCAACTGAGGTGGTGAGACTGTGGGGCTCGAGATGTGCATGGGGATGGGGATAGGGACCGGTTAAACGATACTGAGAAACGTCCCCACGCACAGAGCCTGCACCATTGGGCTGGAGAGGTCGTCGAATCGCCTGTCCAGCATTCGCCGCTGCATTTGCTCCTCCCTCCTCCCTCCATGCGGGCGGCCTCCTAATCCAAGTAGGAGGACTCAGAGAAGGAAGAGAAAGAGGAATATGAGGGGGCAGAGGCCGGATCTGGTGGGCCCCTTGAAGTGATGGATGAGGCTCCTGGAGAGCTCTTTCGAGGGAACCTGGAGACTCGGAGCAACATTGGCGCAGATCCCCCAAAACGCCCGCCCCACCCACCTCTCCGCCCCCTCCGAGAACGCATTGGCCTGGGCCACTGCAAACCCGGGCCAGTCCGGCCTTGCAGGATCACTAGATCCTACCTTTCTGGCCCTTTTTGGAACAGGCAGGGTTTTCAAAATGCGCCCTGAAGGGCCCGTTTAGGGTCCGTTTTCCTTCACCCCGCCCAAGCTCTGCAAGATGCGGCGCTCTGGCGGGCCCCCGTTTGCAATGGCCTCCCGTCGGGGGCGTCCGACAGGGGGGCGCCCAGGAGGGGTTGGCACAAACAGTGGCTGGCGGCGCGTGCGCGGCCCCAGGGAGGCGCCCGGGACGCATTGGAACAAGAGGAGCCACGAACTCTGCGGAGATATCTAGGGGAACAAAAATTGCAGAAACATAATGATACCGGAGAAAAAAACCAATCAGATGTTTTTAATCTTCCAATTGCTCCCTTATAGGGCTATAGGGCTATCGGGATATAGGGATATAGGGCTATCGGGCTATAGGGCTATAGGGCTATCGGGCTATAGGGCTATAGGGCTATAGAGCTATAGGACTGTGACCTATGGGGCCATAGGGCTATAGGGCTATGGGGCTATAGAGCTATATGGGCTATGGGGCTATAGGGATATAAGGCTATTAAGGCTACAGAGATATAAGGCTATAGGGCTACAAGGTTATAGGGCTATACGGCTATAGGGCTATAGGGCTACTGGGCTATTGGGCACCCCCGGGCACCCGGGCACCCGGGCCCGGCCACCGAAATCGGCCATGCACCTCACCGGCCACCCGGGCACCCAGGCACCGCCGGGCACCCGGGCACCCGGGCACCCGGGCACCCGGGCTCGGCCACCGAAATCGGCGACGCACCTCACCTAAACCTTTAAAACGCTAGGATCCCTACAGAGGCAAGCTCTGATTGGGGAAAAACTTTGAGATCCGCGCGGATTTCTCGGATCGGCGCCGGGGCCCCCCGGCGGCGCCTCCGGCGCCGCCCATGGCGCGCTCCGCGCGCCAGGGAGGGGGCTCCAGCGCCGATCCGAGAAATCCGCGCGGACCTCAGAGTTTTTACGTTTCTGTCACTTCTCGTTCCCCTACACTATCGCGGCGCCCGCCAAGACATCCCCTGCCAGGTCACCACCACCCCATCCCGTCCCTGGGCTCGCCGCGCTCCGTGACCGCCCCGGCCACGGCGGGCGAAGAGAGGGGGGCCCGAGTGCACGGGAGGTCCCTCCCGAGGAGCCGGCCGCGTGCCCCCGGCGCGCGCCCCCATTGGTGCCTCCGCGGGGAGGCGCCCCTGGCCCCAGGGTGCCCCGGGCGTCTCGCTGAATTCTGGAGCCCCTGCACGCGCCTATCTTCGAGGCGCGTGTCCACGGGGCAAGGCGCATCGCGCAAAAAAGAGGCCCTGTGGGCCCTCTGGACATCGTGAGGGGTGCTCTGGAGGCCGTTGGGGCCTCCCTGGAACTCCTCGTGGCAGCTTGGGCAAGGGGCACTTCTAGCAACACTAGACCTTCTGGCGCCAGGATTGCTCGGGGGGGAAGGCCTTCTCAGAAGGCGGCGGGGCGGCTCAGAAACAAGACGAAGCCAATTCGAAAACAAAATCAAGTGCGGACAAATCGGAACTGAGATCTGGCGGCTCTGGAGGATGTCTCGGGCGACGCGGCCTTCTCGGGGCGTTCTGGGTCTCTCTGAAAACTTTCCAGAACGCTTTGAACACTTCTCAGAAGGCTCAAGGTCTCCCAAGCCTTCTGAGAAGGCCGTGTGCCTGGCTTTACTGCTCGCGTTCTTCGGCTCCAAGAAGTTCGATATCCCTCGATCGCAAAGGAGTGTCCAGGCCACCAAGCAGACGGCAGTGGTGATCACTGCCACTTATAGCGTCCAGTTCAATAATTACGACGACAAGTGCAGCTACAAGACCACCAAGTACCAAGACCTCGACGCCCACCAAAACACAAAAAAAACAAGATCGGGAACATCGGTGACGTTGGTGACGTCGTGTGTGGTACCGGCCGCTGCAACATCGGGATCATCAACACACAACGGCGACGACGACGTCCCGTGGGCGTGACTACTCATGTGGCAAATGGGGGGCCTCAGCACCGCTCTGATGGAGGTCAATCGCGACCGTGAACGAGAGCGTGGATAACTAGCAATGGCGAAATATTTTGTACGAGAGACACCTCGACGCGATAAGTCTGTAGGACCGCCCCCAACAAGGGGGTAACGGATTATGTGTTCGGCGGTCTAACTGAAAGACTGGGGTCCCGCCAATAGGGGAAAACTAAGCATTTGTTCCGCGGCACCCGATGCGCAACAACGACGACGACAGCTACGACTACGATTGCGACTACGACTACGACGACTACCAATACTTCTGCCTCAGAAGCACTGTCAAGGAAAATCCGAGCTCTGAAACTCGATCCTTAGAAACTCTATCCTCAGAGGAGGAGGAGGAAGAGGAGAAGGAACGGGAGGGGGGGATGAGGAGGGAGATTATTTAGGACAAGTCCTATTCACCGGCGAAAGGAAAAGGGGGGGGATCAAAACTAAAGACATCCTGAGGTTAGCTTCACTGACCTACGTCCCGAGCATCAGCATTCCCCTTATGGAGGTCGAGAGTGACGAGGCCACATCCTGTGACGATCCGACCGTGCCGCCCAGGAATCAAACCTTCACTCAGTACAAGGAAGTACCCGCCACTGGGAGACCCAGAGCGCGAGCGCCACGACCTGGACAGACAGTACCGAAAGACGTCGCCTTCACGTCCATCAAAAAGACGCTACAAAAGGAAATATGAAATCAGTTCCTGTGGTGATCAAGGTCGCGGAAAGGATCTTCTGTCACTGCAGCGCTAACGGCATCTAGATCGGTCGGCAAGAGACGATGAGTTTGAAACTACTACGACCACAACTCAGCGATGACAAATAAGATTCGGCGGAAAGGGGCTTACCGTTCTTACCATGAGGCCCGCGGCACCAAGACGACCGCGAACCATCGACTTAAGGAACCGAGAGAACACCAGGTGACGCGTTCCTGCCAAGTTCCCTTCCTCCCCCGACTTACCTGGGCGCCGCCCGCTTCTGTTTCGACCCTGCCCGATCGGCCCAACAGGGCTCTTGACCAGTTTGCGGTCCCGCCCCTGGCCATCGCTCGGACGTCCATTTCATGTGCTTTTTTGGTTTCGTGCGTGGTTTTCTCGCGAAATGATCAAGGATGCTCCTCGATGGTCCTCGCCGAAGGAAAAATGCACACGTCCGAGCGATGCCGAGGCCCCTCGGCGAGGGGCTCAGACAGCCAGACCGCACGACCAGAGCGAGCCCGCCCCCGCTGGCGCTGCGCGCCGGATGCACATGCAGTCGCATCGACGGCATCGGCTGCCTCAGGTATTCCTTCCGCTGGCGCGGCTCCACCGCCTCCCCCTTTCCCATCCCAAGCCACGATCCTTCGTGAACAAAGCGCTGGCGCCGCGCCCTCGAGGACACGAGCCCTCGTTCTGTTGAAACGGTCATGCGCCCCGAGCTTCCAGGACGCCCCACGCAGGCAACCAAGAACACCAAGATGGCCCAAGATGCCTCGAAGACGGTCCCAGATGGCCCCATGGCGGCCGAATATGGCTTCAACACGGCCCAAGATCCGAGATGCCTCCAAGAGGGCAACAAGAGGACCTCCAGCAGGGTGCAAAGAGGCCACCAAGGTCAAAGAGGTTCGGGCTTCCGTCAGATCATGACGGCCCCAATGGCCCCATGACGTCTCAAGAGTCCCCCAAGAGGGTCCCAAGATGGCCCCCAAGAGGACCCCACGATGGCCCAAGAGGCAGGTATCAAAGATGGCCCCAAGACGGCCCAAGCGGGCCTCCCATGGGATTAGAAGGCCATTCGGCTGCCCAGGACGGCGCCAAGAAATCTCCACGACGACCCCGAAGCACCCACCAGACGGCCAAGAGGGCCCCAGAACGGCTCAATAGAGCCTCGAGACGACCCAAGAGGGCCACAAGGGACTACCATAACTGCCTCACGGGAGGCCAAGACAGCCCAAAGACGGCCCAAACGAGTTCCATGAGAGCTCCTCAAAGAGGTCTCATGGACGGCCGTCCCCGTCCTCCTCCGCTGTTGTCCTTTCCCCCCTCCTCCTCCTCCTCCTCCTCCTCCTCCTCATCGACACCATCATCACCATCATCATCATCAACATCATCATCATCATCGTTACCAACGTCACCATCACCGGTATAATGATCATCATCGTAGCCACCGTCATCATCATGATCATCTCCATCACCACCGCCATCAGCATCATCATCAGCATCCGCATCATCCCAGACATCACCATCATTATCATCATTACAAGCACCAACACGATCATTACTAACGCCATCATCGACATCATCATCATCCACAGCATCCTCATCCGCGTCATCAGCGCAATCAACACCAACATCATCATCGACAACATCATCATCATGATCATCATCATCATCATTATCAGCATCACCATCGGCATCAACATTAATCATTGTACCATCACGCGCGATGGTTCTACATGCCACATGAATCCATCATGATGCCACCCACTGATGGGGGGCAATCTATGAATATGGGCAAATACTTCCCAGGCACAAATCTCCCGCCCAAGGCACACTCCCACGTTCAACTCGCACGACATATGAAAACAACTGTGACAGTGGGGAACAGTGAATCGAATCACGGACATTTCGAGCCCCATGAGAGGGGCAGCCTAGAGAGAAACACACGTAAAACGCGAAGGACTCGAGACCCAGTCGAAAGTCAACATAAAAGTAGCCAGGCGAAGAACCCAACCATATGCAGTTGTCAGTGCCGCAGCTGCGGGTTTCATCTTCAATGGAACTCCCCATAGGATTACGGAACGTGTGAGGGGTGTGCCGAGATGGGTGCCACTGGGGCATTCGGCGAAGCTCCCTATGGGGACATGAAACACGCGCGGGGCGTGCCGACATGGGTGGCGGAAACGCATGTGCGGGCCGCCACTGGGGCCTCCAGTGGAGCTCCCTATGGGTCCCCGAAACATGATGCTGCTGCGGGGGGGGGGGGCGGGATGGGTGGCGGAGACGCATGTAAGCGCCGCTACTGGGGCCTTCGGTGGAGCTCCCTATGGGGCCACGAAGCGCGTGAGGGGTGTACTGGGATGTGTGGCGGGGACGCATGTGAGCGCCGCCACTGGGGCCTTCGGTGCAGCTCTCTATGGGGCCACGAAACGTGTGAGGGGTGTGCCGAATTGGGTGCGGGTGGTGACGCATGCGGGCGGCAGCACTGGGGCCTTCGGTGGAGCTCCCCATGGGGCCACGAAACCTGTTGTTGTGAGGGGCGTGCCGGGATGGGTGGCGGGGACGCATGTGAGCGCGGCCGCTGGGGCCTTCGGTGGAGCTCCCTATGGGGCCACGAAACGTGTGAGGGGTGTGCCGAATTGGGTGGGTGTGGGTGACGCATGTGAGCGCCGCCACTGGGGCCTCCGGTGGATGATGGGGCCACGAAACCTGTCAGGGATGTGCCGAAATGGGTGTGCGGGACGCATGCGCATGTGAGCGCCGCCACTGGGGCCTTCGGTGGAGCTCCCTATGGGGCCACGAAACGTGTGAGGGGTGTGCCGAAATGGGGTGGGGCGCATGGGGCGCAGCCACTGGGGCCTTCGCTGGAGCTCCCTATGGGGCCACGAAACGTGTGAGGGGTGTGCCGAAATGGGTGCGGTGGGCGCATGGGAGCGCAGCCACTGGGGCCTTCGCTGGAGCTCCCCATGGGACCACGAAACGTGTGATGGGTGTGCCGAAATGGGTGCGGTGGGCGCATGGGAGCGCAGCCACTGGGGCCTTCGCTGGAGCTCCCTATGGGGCCACGAAACGTGTGAGGGGTGTGCCGAAATGGGCGCGGTGGGCGCATGGGAGCGCAGCCACTGGGGCCTTCGGTGGAGCTCCCTATGGGGCCACGAAACGTGTGAGGGGTGTGCCGAAATCTGCGCGGTGGGCGCATGGGAGCGCAGCCACTGGGGCCTTCGCTGGAGCTCCCTATGGGGCCACGAAACGTATGAGGGGTGTGCCGAAATGGGCGCGGTGGGCGCATGGGAGCGCAGCCACTGGGGCCTTCGCTGGAGTTCCCTATGGGGCCACGAAACGTGTGAGGGGTGTGCCGAAATTTGTGCGGTGGGCGCATGGGAGCGCAGCCACTGGGGCCTTCGCTGGAGCTCCCCATGGGGCCACGAAGCGTGTGAGGGGTGTGCCGAAGTGGGTGTGGCTGACGCATGCGGGCGGTGGCACTGAGGCCTTCGGTGGAGATCCCTATGGGGCCGCGAAACGTGTGACGGGTGATGATGGCGATGATGATGATGGTGGTGATGATGACGTCGATGATGTCGATGATGATGATGATGGTGATACCGAAACGGTTGCACACGTTTCGTGGCCCCATGATGATGATGACGATGATGATGGTGATAATGACGATGACGATGATGATGATGATGGTGATGAAGATGATGATGGCAGGAGGGAGGGGGCAGCGGGAGGAGTGAACGCGGGGCGCTGTCTCTTCAAAACGAAGACCCAACACCACAGGATGGTAAGCACATTGAGGATTCGAACCGCAGCCCAGGGGCAATCCATATATACATATCGATCCGTATGTATATACAAGACTGACTGCATTGGCGTTTCGCGCCATGCGCTTTGTTCCGGACCCTCCCCGGCAAAGCAACACATCATCGCTTGCTTCAGCGTGGGGACCTCGAAGCCTGGACGGGCGACCGGCTCATTCTTCTGATATCCCTGGTGCCTGCTGACACCGCATTCGCCCGATGCGCTTGCACGCTTGTGCGCAGGAGTAGGCAAAGAATGATGATTTTGTCCCGCGCGAAGGTCCCTTTGAGAAAATAAGGAGCGTTCCCAAGACACGCCGGAGAAGTCGCAGTAGCTCCGGACAAATCGATGTTTGGTAACTCCCTGAATGCCTGGAGGGCTCCAAGAACTCAGGAAACCTTCGACAGTCGAACTTCGAATCTAGATCCATTGCCTGTCTCTCTCGATCGAAGAACTTAAACCTCGAGCCTCAAGCGTGGAACCAAAATCGTCGGGTCAGCTCGATGTACTTCGTAAGAAAACGTCATCTGGGCGTTTTTGGTGTTTTTTTGGGCCGTGCTGGGGCCCTCTGGGGCCGTCCTGGGGCCTTCTTGCGCCGTCTTTTGGGAGCTGAGGCCCTCTAGAAATCTTCTGACGTCATCAAAGGCCCTCTTGGGGGCCTCCAGTGGCCGTTTTTGGGTCTCCCGTGGCTTTGGTGGGTCTCTCTTGGGGGTCTTCTGGGGACATCTTGGGTTTCTTGCATGCAGTCTCGGGGCTCTCTGGGGCAGTCCTGGGGCCCTCTTGGGCCGTCTTCAAACCCTCTGGGGGGCCTCTTGGGCCGTCTTGGGGCGATATCGGGGGCCCATCGGGCCGTCTTGGATGCTGCGAAGTCCCAAGAAACGGATTTGTTAAACTTATACATTTCCCCGATGGGATGGGACGATGTTTGCTTCTTCGGGGCTCTCTTAACAGCCTCTTGGGGCGTCTTGGGGGCCTCTTGGGCCATCTTCAGACCATCGAATTTCCTCTTGGAGCGCTCTTGTGCTGTCTTGGGTCTCTGATGATCCCTCCGATCGCCTTGAGTCTGCTCCGTAGGCCCGGCAAGGGGGGGGCCCGGAAGGGCCAGCGGACGTTTTCCAAGGGCGTCCAGGGGGCGCATTGGAGACGCCCGAAAAGGCGTTCAGGGCGTCCTTGGGAGGGGGGGGGGTCTGGTTTAGGGGGGGGGTCCGGGTAATAAAATTAGCCAGACGAAGGACCAAACCATATACAGGTGTGAGTACCGCAATTGTGATTCCCTTTTTCGGTGGTGATCCCTATGGGGCAACGAACCGTGCTAGTGGTGTGCCAAAATGAACGGCGTGGTACACAACGCGAACGAAAACGATTGATCTGAGTACGTCGGGAGACTGAGCGCGGGTGAATCTGACCGCGAGTGCGTCTGACTGTGAATGAATCCGCGTGCGAGCGAGTCTACGTGCATGAATGCAAGTACGCCAATGCACGGTGCAATTGTGTATGAATGTTAATAGTTTGTGAATGACTGCCTCTGAGTACTCGTGACGCTGGGCGTGGCCGCCGCAAGGAGCTTCCCCGGGACTCCCTGACGGCATCGCCCGCGCGCCGCGACGCCACCGCGAGGATCGCGCCCACTTCCTCCCCTTCTTTTACTCCCTCTTTGCCCGCGCACTCAAAGTCCAAAGCTGCGGGCGCAGCGCAGCGCGGAGTCTCAGCGACGCGCGCAGGTCGCCACGGAGGGGTCCCAGCGACGCGCGCGGGTAGTCCGCTGCGCGCAGCAAAGAGAGCTAGCTGGCTGGCTGATAGCGGGCAAGGCTCTTGCCGCTAGGCAGAGCGACGGCGGGCGAGGGAGGCGCAGAACCCCGACGGCCTCCGACGGAGGTGTACTAGGTGGTGGAGACGCGTGCGGACTGCGCCACGGGGACCTTCGGTGGAGCTCCCTATGGGGCCACGAAACGCGTGAAGGGTGTGCCGAAATGGGTGTGCGGGACGAATGCGGGCACACCCACTCGGACCTTCGGTGGAGCTCCCTATGGGGCCACGAAACGTGTGAGGGGTGTGCCGAAATGGGTGTGCGGGACGCATGCGGGCACACCCACTGGGACCTTCGGTGGAGCTCCCTATGGGGCCACGAAACGTGTGAGGGGTGTGCCGAAATGGGTGTGCGGGACGCATGCGGGCACACCCACTGGGACCTTCGGTGGAGCTCCCTATGGGGCCACGAAGCGTGTGAGGGTGTGCCGAAATGGGTGTGCGGGACGCATGCGGGCACACCCACTGGGACCTTCGGTGGAGCTCCCTATGGGGCCACGAAACGTGTGAGGGGTGTGCCGAAATGGGTGTGCGGGACGCATGCGGGCACACTCACTGGGACCTTCGGCGGAGCTCCCTATGGGGCCACGAAGCGTGTGAGGGGTGTGCCGACATGGGTGTGCGGAGGAGGAGGGGGAGGAGGAGGAGAGGAGGAGAGGAGGAGAGGAGGAGACGCGGGCCACCGTCTTTTCAAAACGAGGACCTAACAACACAGGTTGGCTGGGAAATATGGGAATAGGAATCGGAACATGCGTAGAACACGAAGGATTCGAGCCCCAAGAGAGGGGCAAGCGATAGGAATAAACGTAAAACATCGAAAAACCTCCAGCCCTAGGAGAGGGGCGGTGCGACTCACGGGGGCGAAGCATACGGGTGGCCGAACAACGCTCCCCGAGCACATGCCACAATGCAGACAAGTGTTTTCTAGGGCATGTCGGGGCCTCCTGAGGCGTTTCCTGGAGGCGGAGAGGCAGAGAAAAGGCCTCCCGAACACACATCTCCACAGACAGGTGTCTCCAGGGACCTCCTGGGAGCGGACGGTCCGAGAAAAGCGCCGCGACAGAGCACTCCCAGAGCCCTGAGAGCCCCATCTCTCGGCGGCACGATTTCGGAGCAGGTTCATACAGGGCAGTTTCTAGTACATGCGATGTTCAAGAAAACATGCGATTCTTAATACATGGGTAATGTACGAATGAATGCATGCATGAACTCATCGTTGTTTGTGATACTAAATCCCTGCATTTCTGATACATGATCCGCACGCGGAGCACGTATTAAAAAACGGCACTGCAAGGTGGAGGGCTCAAAGTGGACTCCATGTGGGCTTTCGCACCTCGGAGATCAATCCGTCTTGTGGTCCACCTTGTGCAGATTCAAACCTCGAGACCGAATCGAAGCGGCATGTCAGATTTCACCCTCTGCCCTCCACCCACAGAGCATGCTCGGAATTTCAGGTACACGCAGAGTGACCCTGGTGCGCGTGCGAGGCCAATTATTATACACCACCGCCGCCGAGAACAGTGACTTACCGCAACAAAGGGTTAGGGGCAGGGTCATGCCAGACGACGCTGCGACGACACGGCGAAAAGGAGCAGCGCAGCTCGCAGGCGCCGTGGCATGGGGAGCTCCTGGAGCAGAAGCAGCACTTTTTGGTGGTGGTGTATAAAAATGGCTCCTCTTGGTAACCAAAATGTTGTACACCACCACCGCGCGTGCTTTGGTGAATTCTGTTTCGGTCCTTAAGAGAGAGGGGGGGCAGCCCGTTTGCCGTTGGCGGCGGGAGGGGAACTGCGGGCTTTTCACAAGAGCAAAACTGCACCAAATCGCATCGTAGAGCATTCTCGATCTTGGTGGTGGTAGTCGTATACTGTGCTCGGAGCGCGGCTTGCCGGCCGCTGCGTGCGGTGCGGCAGCGGCGGCCCGCTTGCTTGGGCGTGGCCCCACAGCGCCCTCCGAAGGCCGCGCGCCAAAGGGCACTCCAGCGAAGGGTCACTCCTGCTCGGGGGTTGCCAATGGCGCCCCTGGCCCGAGGTACCCCCAGCTTTTTCGCTCAAGTATGCAGTCCTAAGGGGACCTCGGGGCATCGTGAGGTACTCTGGAAATCCTGGGGGCCTCCTTGGAAATCCTGGGGGCACCTTGGACCAGAAGCACCGGCTTACGCGTAGCCGAGAAGTATTCGAGCCGGATCGACATGTGAAGGTCCTGGGCCCGAAATCTGTCGAAAACGCCCGCCAAGTCCACAAAACTTCAATGCCCGGATCTGAGGGCAGTCTGTGGAGGTCCAGGCCTCGCGCGCCTCATTTGAATCGTGGGCTCTGCCTTCGTTGGCGGCGCGCACAAGGGGGAAAATATGGGGGAGGGGGGAAGGCTCCTTAGGGAGGCTGCTGCTTGGAAGGCGCCTGCCTTACATCCATAAGTGAGGCCCGCGCCCTCTAAGAAGAAGGAGTACTTCTAAGGAGCCTTCCCCCCCCCCTTCCTCCATCTGCCCTCGGCCAGAGGCCCAGCCGATGCATCGGCGATGCGGCAGCGACGCCAGCGATGCATGGCCGATGCAGCAGCGACGTCGGCGTGGAGAGCATCGGGATCCCGATCGAGCCGCGTCGCCGGCTTGGAGGAGGAGGAGGAGGAGGAGGAGGAGGAGGAGGAGCAAGAGGAGAAAGAAGAGGAGGAGGCGAGGCGGCACAGAGGACGGACAATTCGAGGAGGAAGTCGAGTACATCATGGATTTGACCCAAGCTTGGTGTTTGGTCGAATCTGGACACCTGCGAAGAACGCTCGTGGATCTACGCATCTTTTGCACACCTTCTTCGCAGATCCGACGGCACATATCCATCTTGGGGCACATCGATTTCGCAGCAAACGTCCTGCTCGGATCAGGGCGCTGCCTCTCTTTGTGCTCCCAGGCTCTACCCCCCGGCTGGGAGAGGAGGGGGAGGAGGAGGAGGGGGGAGGAGGAGGAGGAGGAGGAGGAGGAGGAAGGGAAGGAGAGGAGGAGAAGAGGAGGAAGGAGGAGGAGAGGAGGAGGAAGGGGAGGAGGGAGGGAGGAGGGAGGAGGCGGGAGGAGGAGGAGGAGGAGGAGGAGGAGGAGGTAGGAGGAGGAGGAGGAGGATGGAGAGGAGGAGGGAGGAGAGAGGAGGAGGAGGGAGGAGGAAGGAGGGAGTAGAGGAGAGGAGGAGGAGGAGAGGGAGGAGGAGGAGGAGGAGGAAGGAGGAGGCGGAGGAGGAGGAAGGGAGGAGGGAGAGAAGAGGAGGACGGAGGAGGAGGAGAGGAGGAGGATGAGGAGGAGGAGGAGGAGGAGGAGGCGGGAGGAGGGGAGGAGGCCAGCCAGGCAGCGCGCGGAGGGCCCGTGTGCCCGCGGGCGCCGCAGGCCTCTTTGGAGCCCGCGGCGCGGCGGAGCGCCCCCGACGAGCCCCGCCGCCGCGCCGGGCGGCGGCGCCGCATCGGCAACTCGGCGGCGCGCCCGAGGGGGGCAGGATCGGAGGAGGGGAACCTCCTCCTCCTCCTCCTCCTCCTCCTCCTCCTCCTCCTCCTCCACCTCCCCTCCTCCTCCTACCTCCTCACCCTCATCCTCCTCCCCGCCTCCCTCCTCCACTCATCCTCTTCGTCCTCCTCTTCCTCCTCCCTCCTCCTCCCCCCCCTCCCCTCATTCCCTCTCCCTCCCCTCCCCCCCCTCCCTCTCCTCCTCCTCTCCCTCCTCTTCCCTCCCCCCCCTCCTCCCCTACCTCCTCCTCCTCCTCCTCCTCCATCCTCTCCTCCTCCTCCTCCTCCTCCTCCTCCTCCTCCTTCCTCCTCCTCCTTTCCTCCTCCTCCCTCCTCCTCCTCCTCCTCCCTCCCTCCTCCCTCCTCCTCTCTCCTCCTCCCCCTCCTGCCCCCCTCCTCTCCTCCTCCTCCTCCTCCTCCTCCTCTCCACCTCCTCCTCCTCCTCCTCCTCTTCGTCCTCCTCCATCCTCCTCCTCCTCCTCCTCCTCCTCCTCTCCTCTCCCCCCCCTCCTCCGCCCACTGCTCCTCTTCCTCCTCCTCTCCTCCCCCCTCCTCCTCTTCCTCCTCCTCTCCTCCCCCCTCCTCCTCCTCCCCCTGCTCCTCCTGCTCCTCCTCCCCATCCGGCACCGAGGCTGCTGCCCGCCCCTCGTTGTCCCCGTGTTTGCCGCTTCCAGGGAGGCCCTCGTCGCCGCGGCCAGATGTGCCTCGAAGTGCGGATCAGAGCCGGGCGCGAGGTGCTGAGGGGAGGCCCTTTCGGGCCCCTTTGGGGGCGCCTGTGGGCTCACGCAGGGGCCCCAAAGGGCCCTTCTGGGGCCCTGTTCTTCGTCCCCATTTAGGCCTCCCCCCATTGCCACCCGCCCGACAGAACGCACCCCTGGAGAGGTCCAAGGAGCAGGGGAACTGGTACCTCTTGGTTCCCCAGTTAAGCCGCGAGGTCTCGGCTGGGTCTGCGTGCAACTCCACTCCGCGGGACCTCCCAGGAGCCCGTGAATGTGGCGATAGTGGCGCACTTCGCAGCCCCCCAAGGAACTCCGAGGTTTTCGAACGTCTTCGTAAGGCATGCTCGTGTCGTGTCGACCCCAGCGTTGGTTTCTGACACCGCGGGGATCGTTCAAATTTGAAGGATCGGCCGTTTCCGAACGTCCGATCATTCAACACCAACCGATTCTGGGTCGCCAGCGGCGTTCAACGTTGAACGCCAGCGGCGAGGTCGCCGCTGGTCGACACGACGCGAACCTACCGCAAGATCCCGTTTGCATATTATTCGCGATAACGCCCGATAGGCCCCGCCACGCCCACCCTCACCCCCTCTGGTCACGTCACGATTGGCGCCAGCGCCGTCTGGGAATCAGCCATTCGCAAGCATTCCTGGACGGCGCTGGCCAGAATCGTGACGTGACTGGACCCCTGGCCACGCCCGTTATCGACAGGGGATAAAGAAACGAGCTCTAAGTTCTCGGCGGTTCTCAAGCCGAGGGATGCACTCTGGCAGCTGCTCCACGCCGAGAGCATTCTGGGGGGGGGCCAGTCGAGACGAACGGCCGCCAAAGAGCCACGTTGTTGTGGCCCAAGACAACCAGGCGTCCGAGAGGGGGGGAGGCCTTCACAGAAGGCTAGAAGGCCACCATCCTTCTCAAAGCTTCCTCAGCCTTCCCCGAACGCACAGGAGGGCTTCGAAGCAGGCTGGAGGGCCTCTGAGGAGCCCCGCCGCCTTCTGAGAAGGCCTGGCCCTGCTCGCTCTCCCCCCTCGGCGCGCCGCCGAGAGGCGTATAGGAAAAGCGTGCGAGCGCACTGTGCCTCGAGTAGCTTTGCCGCCGAGGCCAAATTCGCTGCCCGAGGAGCTCTCGAGCGTGCCGCCTCGGGGGCCCTGGCACGCGGGGCAGTCCGGAAGGAAGGGGAGGGCAGGAGGGGTGGGAGAGAGGAATGGAGGGGACGGGGAGGGAGGAAGACGAGGGGAACGATGAGCAGGAGGCGTAGCTATCCTATTCTGCCCAGGGCCATCCCGGGCCCTGCGCTGGTGTACAGACCCTCCTGGCATCGGCCAGGAGGGCGTATACACCAAGCCAAGGGGCCCAATATGACCCTCCTACATGGGTGCCTTCGGTAAACGGAATCGCAGAAGCGAACCGCACCTCCGATGCATCAGGGCAATGCTCTTCAACGTCGGGGTGAATCACATCGGACTCCGCATCGCGCCGCGTCGCCGACGCATCGGCGATGCGACTCCATGTTCTACTGTGGATCCCCTTGAGAGGCCTGATGGAGTACATGCTCTTCATGTGACACTTGGGGAGGGAGGAATAATATCAATGGCATGCAGCCGAAGGGAACCCATCATCGTGTCACTGTTGAAGAAGCGTTGGGCCTCCGAACAAAAGCGAAGGAGAAACAGCGGCAGCGTTCCACTCATACTCCCCAGCCATCCAGCGGTGTGCTTGTTTCAATCCGCGGACCCAGAACGCCTGCGCCCTTCCCCAGGGGCAATTTTTCGTCCCGGCTCCGTGTTTGACGAACTCGGGGCCGGGCTCAGCTCGTCGGACATCTGGGCGGCCTTGATGCACCGATACCGCTACTCCCTGGACCTCTCCCGGGGGACTTCTTGACCGGAATTTCGAGACGAATCCAACGGAGGCGACGAGGGCCTCCCAGGAGGCCCAAAATGGGGAAGACGAGGCACTGGCAGCGGTGGGTGCACCTTGCCCTCCCCTGGCCCCTCCCCTCCCGCACGTGCCGCGCTCAACCGGAGCCCCCGAGACGGCACCGCGGAGACCTCGAGGCCGCCCCCTGCGGGCCAGCAGGGCGCCTCGAACCCGCAGCCCTGCCGCCTCGGCCGGCCAGCCGCCGCCTCCCCTCGCGAGAGAGCTGTACAACGGGGCGGCCGGCAGGTGCAGGCGCTTCGCTGCACCGGGAAGCCAGGGGCAGAATCGAGCTCCGGGGCCCCATAACCGTGCGGTGGCGGACCGCGGTGACCTCGACATCCCCAAACACCTCACCGCGCAGGCCGTCGCCGCTCGGTCTTGGGATCTCGGAGAATGGCCCGAACCACAAAACCGTGCGGAGACCCCGAATTCCCGCTGACTTACCATTCGGTGTGGTCACCACACCGTCTGGGGGCCTACGAGAAGCCAGGGCCAGAGCAAGATCGAACTGGGGTAAAGTCGGACAGGGACGAATCGGCGATCTCGGAGATCTGGCGACTCTGGAGGATCTCTGGCGACACGCAAGATTGGCCCTCAGCAGGGAGGCCCTGTGGTGCGCGGCCTCACGGGGGACGCGGGGCGGCCAAAGCTGGACGAGCAGGCCGTTGCTGCCGCTTCGCGCTCAGCTATCGGGGGACCCCATGGGGCCCGCACCAGCGGCCACCCTGGCGAAAGGTCACTCTTGCGTCTAGTCTTACCAGCCTCGAACGTATCCCTAGCCCTAAGATTGACACGCCAAGAGGCGATGACAATCTTGGGGATTCGCCCTCGAAAAATAAGGGAATCCCTAAGATTGGCATCGTGATGAGGAGGTGCCCAGCATGGGGATAGGGATATGTTCCGGGCTGGTAATAGTCTGAGATGTGTCGGGCGCCGCGGCGGCTCTGAGAGCACTCCCCGGAGCGCTCCGGAGCGGCGTCCCGCCCCCGCCCGAAGAGCTGGGCTGGTGTCCGAGGGGAGCCCGGGAGAGTCTGGGGGGGGAGATCTCGGGAGCGGCCAAGAGGGGGGTGCCCAAGAGGGGGAGGTGCAAATCATGACCGGCGGCATGTGCGCGGCCCAGCGCGGGGGCCAGGGACGTAGTGAAAAGAGAAGATGCGCCCTGAGATCTGGGCAAATTCCACGACCCCCGCCATGATATCCCCCCCCCCTAGTCATCAACCCCCCTCTTTTCCGCCCCCGAAGATCGGGAGCCTTCCCGAACGGGTCCAGAGCAGCTGAGGTGGGAATAACGCGCCGCATCTTCGATGCGTCGCGGAATGCACTGGCGACGCCGGGACGGAGCAAAGTAAGATGTCGCCGCATCGCCGACGCATCGGCGATGCGGAGCAATCCCCCGTGGGCATGCACAGTGAGAAACTGGGGAAACCAAACTGTGCCGATACCGCCTCTCCCAGGACCTCTCTTGGGGTACGCTCTGACCAGGCTTTCGAAGCGAGTCTAGCGGTGGCGACGAGTGCCTCCCAAGAGTCCCACAAATGGGAAAACGAGAGAAGGGCAGGGTAGCGGTATGGGTACGTTTTCCTCCTCCGAACTCTGGCGAAGAAAGCACACGCCAACACCGGCACAAGCTGTCGGAGGTCCGCGCGAACTTCTCGGAGCGGTACGGGCCCCTCTCCCAGCACGAGGAGGGGCGGCGCCAGATGCACCGTAAGGGGGGCCCATCGACAGCCCGAGACAAGGGCGATGGTCTCCGTATGTGTGCTTACTCAATTCCCGTTGTTTCACGTCTGCGAGGCCCGAAGATGTAAGAATCCTATGTCACGCCCGCCATGGGTAATGAAAACATGGGCACGATCCACAACATCAAGAATCTTGTCCAAAACTGATGGCAACCGATCTTGTGCGGGCGACTCTGTCTCAACCCGACAACGTCCGCGGCGACGCCGACAGCGAGTCCTGATCACAGTGGACACGAACGGCTGTCGGCCTTCGTCCCCATTCTCTCCGCACTTTCTTTTGAATTCAAAAACCTGGTTTGTGATGCAACAACAGCCATCTGAATGCACAAACCAGTATCCTAGCATTGGCGCGCCTGCGGGGAGCACGCCAGGTCTGCGAAGCAGACATGCAGCAACCAGAGTCGTAGTCAGCAGTGCATGGTGAGGGGGAGCATCAACGCAGCGTGCACCCGAAGCGTAAGTATTTTGGCCCGTGAGCCGCCTTGCGCGGCGTGCGTCGCAACCACCGTACTGTTAGCCTTGATCCTGAGAATAACAATGTATGTCGGCGGTGGACAAACCTCCCTTTAGTAAACCTCCCCTGAGTGAAACCGGCCTAGGACCGAAACCGACGGACCTGGACCCGCAAAAATGACGGCCGCGACGCCCCCTCGCGAACCGAAAATGGCAAATTCCTTAATCGACTTGTCAGGGTAGGAGGTCTATCAAACTCCGAGTATTTGAGAGCCTCCCCGCGGCGAGCTCGGTGGCACGAAGGCCCTGCACCCGCTGACCACAGGCGGTGCGTCGAGGCGGGCGCGCGGGGCGCGAGACGGGCGCCCTCTACGGCGGCGCGGGCCTCCTCGCGAAGCGCGCTGCCTTCGGCAGGGGCGCAATGAGCATCGTTTAACCGATCCCTGTTGCCACGGGCGTGGCCTGGGCCACACTGGCCGATGTGTCCCCCTCGATGGGGATCCAGGCTGTTCCCTTCGAGCTTCGAGGGGCACATCCCCAGCTTGGGTGGTGGGATGGTGGGGATGGGGATGGGGATGGCAATGGGGAGAAGGATCGGTTGAACGATACCGACAAGCGGGGCTGGCACGCGCAGTCGATCGAGGGATCGTGCAGCATCCGCCGGCGTCCTGGCGCGGCCACCCGGGCGCGGCGAGGCTCCCTTCGAAAGACGCCTCTCCTCGACTTCGGCCCCTGAGGCCGTCTTCGGGCTCCAGGAACATCAAGCATGGCTCCGCGGGACGGAAAACTAGATACCCCTTGGGAAGCGGTCTGGAGCTCGGGGGCCGCGGCTTGAGGCACCATGTCGGGGGAAATCTGGGAACGGGGGAGGTACTCCTGGGGGCCTCCTGAGCCGGGACCAATGCCCTCGGATCTGCCCGAGGGGTCTACGGAAGACTCCAGCCGATCCCCAAGAGTACAAACAGCGGCGAAAGCGGAGACAGACGAGGAAGAGGCTGTTCTCCTCCTCCTCCCCCTCCTCCTCCTCCTCCTCCTCCTCCGCCTCCATGCTCCACCTCGTTCTTCTCCTCCTGCCCCGTCTCCTCCTCCTCCCTTCTCGCCCTCTGTGCGCTCCTCCCTCTTCGTCTCTCGTGCCCCCCCTCCAAGTTACCCCTCCCACCCCTCCCCCCTCCCTGCCTCCTCCTCTTCTGTTCGCACCCCCTGTGCCTTGGGGCCCCAGGAGGACACGTGGAGCCAGAAACTGGGGAAGACCAAAGGTACCAATCCGCCGATCCGGCGTGTGAGTTTCAAGGAGTCTCAGCTACAGCCTCGAGGCTGAGCTTCAGCCTCTGGGGGGGTCGCCGGGGTGGCTCTGCCGGGGAAGGGGGGGTGGGGGGGGGGGGGGGGGTGCGAGTTTCCGGCGAACCCCGGGGCCGCTCCGGGGGAGTGGAAGATAGGGGGGGGGGGGGCGCCATGCTCCGCTTTTTCCGGCGCTTTGGAGGAGGGGGGGGGCCCAAGAGACCCCCAAGGGGTTCCAAGAGGGCCCCGAGTCGCCGAAAAATCGCTCCAAGACGCCCGAGATGGCCTCCAGACGGCCCAAGGTGTCTCCAAGACGCCCCAAGAAGCTTCCAAGAGGCCTCCCAAGAGGGCCCCAAGAGGCCAGAATCGTTGATTTTCATTGGTTTTTTCAGGGTTTTTAGCGTTCTTGCCTTTTCGGGCGTCCGACGCTCGAAGACGGCCCAAGAGGCCCCCAAGTCCGTCCCAAGACGGCCCACGATGCTTCCAACACGGCCCAAGAGAGCCCCAAGACGGCCCAAGAGGGCCCCAAGACGGCCCAAGAGGGCCTCTGGACAGCCCAAGAAGGCCCCAAGAGAGCCCCAAGAGGGGCCCAAGAGGGGGACCACGAACCGAAAGAACCGAGCTTTCCGCCCCAAGAGGCCCCCAGGAGGCCCCAAGAGACCCCCAAGGGGCCCCAAGAAGCCCACAAGAGGCCCAAAAGAGGTTCCAAGAGGCCCCACTACTACTACTACTACTACTCCTCCTCCTCCTCCTCCTCCTCCTCCTCCTCCTCCTCCTCCTCCTCCCCCTCCTCTTGGCCTCCTTCCCGGCTTGCTTCCCGGCTTGGTGTTTTCTGAAATTCTTAACGGCTTAAGCACCAGCCCGCTCGCCTCTCGGTTCCGTGGAGCCGCCTTCTGCGGCGTTCTGCGGCAGCCTGTGCGGTGGCCTATGTCTGGGTCATCGGTGCCACCTCGGCGAAGGTGAAACATGTGGCCGAATATGCACAGGCGATGACGACTGCAACTCGGGTCGCCTTTGCGCGAGAGGAGGAGGAGCGAGGATCACGGTCGGGAGAGGTTGCCGGACAAGCCGCGCAACCGAAGTCCCGCGGCCCTTCTCTCGCTGCTGGCGCCTTCTCTCGCTACTACAGCTGCTACTACTACTACTACTACTACTACTACTACTACTACTACTACTAGTAATACTACTACTACTACTACTACTACTACTACTACTACTACTACCAGCAGTACTACTACTACTACTACTACTACTACTACTACTACTACTACTACTCCACTACTACTACTACTACTACGACGTACTAGTACTACTACAGTACTAGTACTACGTACTACGTACTACGTACGAGGTCCGTCCGCCGCTGCTTAACATCGTCTGTGGTCTTCCATTTTCCCCGTGCGCACAGCCGTTCTGTACACGACCTCACCAGTCTACATTCTGAGATACTGGGCGAACCGCTCGCCCTTCAGGCGGCCAACTGGCATACTCAGACATAAAAACAGAGCACTATAGGAGTGACCCCCATCAGCGCGCGACCCCAATCAGCGCGATATAGGGAAACAGGAGGCCGGCAAAGGAGAAGGAGCAAGAGAAAGAGGAGACGATGAGACAGGCGGAGGACGAGGAAACGGAGGAAAGGGCAAGCTTACTCAAAGCATCCCGCGGGCGAGCTACCCGCAAGTCAGGCATGGCCTCGGCTGAAACACGGCGGCGGCTCCAAGTACCACCTACCAATGCCGTCATGGAAGTATCGATGGTACTTGCCATAAATGCAAAGGCATGTTTGCGCCTTGGTCTGGTGCATGCTGTGCTCCCTGGCGACCTGCTGCAATGTGAGGTCTGGCCGGCCCTCACATTTCGCCACGAGCCGCAGACCAATCCGGCTTCCTGTGCGCAAAGACATCTCGCGGCCCTTATCTGCCAGTTTATTTTTCAGGCCCAATGGGAGAATGACAGTGTGAAGGACTACTTCCCAACAGTGGAAGACGAGCGCCCGGCCTGTCAGCGGTAGCAGATACGCCACAAGCGCATCCACAGCATCAACCATGCCCGGCTGCTTCTCTGGAATTGACAGGATGCCCATTACCACGCGCACCATGCCTTCCAAAGCCGTGCCAGCCAAGAGCTTGCGAGAGATGACGCCATGGAAAGTCCCGCTCCCGCAGGCAGCCGTCCTCACCGTCGATGCTGTGAGTTTTGCACTGTGGCACACGGGCGCAATCACATCCGCATTCTCCCGCCGTCCCTGCGTGAACACAACTGAGATGATGACTCGCATGGCATGTATGCGCCAATCACGATGTCCTTTTCGCCGGAGCTTCGATACCTGCCGTCGGATGCACTTGCTAGCGGCATCTTTCCGGCGAGATGTCCGCTCAAGACGCGCATACCTCAAGATGAGATTCTGCACCACACGAGGCTTCTCTCCCTTCGGGGCCGCATCCTGATCATCCATTGCCCTCACCATCTCGCCGAATGTGAGGTCGCAGTTGTATGCGTTAACAATGCGCCCATCACGAGCCCGAGCTCGATTGCCACTGGGCGTGAAGAGCTTATCGCCCTCCCTCATCCTCTTCCTTCTTCTAATCATGCCACTCCACTGCCCCGCTTCCTGGCGCACCTGCCGTGTCAGTGCCGCTGCCCCTTTCCTCCTGCCAGCAGCGCGTCGAAATTCTCGGCATCTCGCACACACTCCACGGCAACTGAGGTCAGGACCTTTATGCCCACAGGGGTTCCAGCACACCATGACGCCCAACCAGGGATGACCTTTCAAGTTGTTTGCCCAAACAACTTGAGCCAAAAGCTGAGTCCAGTACAGCTGTCTGAATGAATCTAGGAAAACAAATTGCTCAAGAATTCGCCACCTCCACGGGCAAGAGGCGTGCTGAGATCTCCGGCTACTGGTTAACAGTACTTCTACTTCGTGCACGCGGGCCGGCCTCCGAGGGGTCCCCAGACGAAACATACCTCGCCAAGGTCGACAGATTGTCCTGGAATGGTCCCGGGAGAACCTCTAGAACCCTCCACGCATGCACTTGCTGACACCCCTTTCTGCAGTAAGACAGGGAAGTCCAGCAAAAGAAGAAAGCTGAGAAGGATGAGAACGAGGAATGGAGAGGGGCAGGATTATGAGCACGTCCTTCCTTCCCGATGGGTGGAAAGATACCCGCCCCGATCTTCTTGCCCCCGAACGGGGGTAGTGTCTCACCCCGCATCCGTCTGCGACAACCCTGGGGCCCGACTGGGGCCCGAAATAGGCTCCTTCGTTACAAAAGTCGAGGACGAACCTCCGACGATCGAGGGTCGATTGGAACACATGCGGAGAATTACCAAAAATCGAAGACGACAAGAAGAAGGAGGAGGACAGAGGGCACGAGGAAGGAGCGAGGATCTCAGGGAACGGGTCCCTTCTCCGAGTGCGCGCCCCGCCTGAGGGTCGCCCCCTCTGAACCGGCCGAAGAATGTCTCCGGAGAGGTCCAGGGCGTCGATCGACGACGACGACGATCGACGGCGACGATCGACGACGACGAAGCCGACGAAACCCAACCATCCGGCTCCAATACTAGCACTAAGGATGCCTGAGGCTACCCAGATCGGCCAGGATGCTCCATGAAGCCCCAATAGGCCCCACGAAGATCGGGCCGGACAATCGTGAGTTCGGAAAGAGGAAATTACCGAACCAACTGCACGCAGCTGGTTCTCCCAGCACCTCGAGACGTTGGGAACGACCATGTGTCGAGGAATGCCTCGCGGCGAGGCCAAAACCAGGTGCATGCAGCAGATTACACCACTCCTCTTTTCTCCCACCCTTCCTTTTTTCATTTTCCTAGAGAATTCCACAAGAAACGCCCAATGACCCCTCAAAATTTCCAGAAGGACCCCTTTTCCTCTTCGGGGACGGGTTATCCCCTCCCCCTACCCGTTCCCCTGGACATCTGGACGGAAGGGGCCGCGAAAGGTTAGAGCACCCAAGATGGTCCAAGATGGCTCCAAGAAGGCCTCAGCGACCCCAACATGACCTCCAAGACGGCTCAAGATACCTCAACAATGCTACAGATAGCTAACGACATGCTTCGAAGAGGCCTCAAGACCCCCTCCAGACGGATTCAAGTGGCCAGGGAGCCGCCCAATGAGGCCCCCGAAAAGCCAAAATCTTTTAACAACCTACAGATATCCCTGTTTTTGGGCCTTTCCCTTGTCGCTTCAATTGGACTTCTGAGGTTACACGGCCGCTCCAAGATGGCCCAAGCGGCCCCGAAGAACGGCCCAAGACAACCGCAAGACGAGCCCGGGCTCCCAAATCCGCCCCCGCCTCTTCCTTCTCCTTCCCTTGGGAAGCCTCCGAAGGAACGCACAAGCGAGGGCGTGCAACGAACT